TTTTTATTGTACAGCAATCTTTCTCCTCAAACCTACCACCTCTCTCTTTTCTTTCCTTTTTACTTTCTCTTCCCCCCACCCTCTTCTTCTCCTCCCTACTTCCTCTTCCTTTCTCCTTCTCCTCTCTTCCTCCCTCTCTTACCCTCACTCCTACTTTAATTTCCCTTCCCTTCCTTCATCCCTCTCTATTGCTGTATCCTTTTATGCATATGGATTACTCAGAGGGCTGAAAAAGTTATTTTTGACTGGTCCTCGCACTTTTGACCAGTCCTCGAACTTACGACTGTCCTCACATTTTACGTTTTTTGCCCTATCTTATCACCATGGTGAAGAGAAGCAGTTGTGAAATGAGTGACATGGTTGTTAAGAATGCTGCACGGGCATAAATATGAGGATGGTCATAAGTGTGAGGACAAGTCAAAAGTGCGAGGACCTGTCAGAAATGACTTTTTTCAGCCCTCTGGTTAGTCCTTTTGTGCATATGGACTACTCAGAGGGCTGAAAAAGTTATTTTTGACTGGTCCTCGCACTTTTGACCAGTCCTCGAACTTACGACTGTCTTCACATTTTACGTTTTTTCCCCTATCTTATCACCATGGTGAAGAGAAGCAGTTGTGAAATGAGTGACATGGTTGTTAAGAATGCTGCACGGGCATAAATGTGAGGATGGTCATAAGTGTGAGGACCAGTCAAAAGTGCGAGGACCTGTCAGAAATGACTTTTTTCAGCCCTCTGGTTAGTCCTTTTGTGCATATGGACTACTCAGAGGGTTGAAAAAGTTATTTTTGACTGGTCCTCGCACTTTTGACCAGTCCTCGAACTTACGACTGTCCTCACATTTTACATTTTTGCCCTATCTTGTCATCATGGTGAAGAGAAGCAGTTGTGAAATGAGTGACATGGTTGTTAAGAATGCTGCATGGGCATAAATATGAGGATGGTCATAAGTGTGAGGACCAGTCAAAAGTGCGAGGACCTGTCAGAAATGACTTTTTTCAGCCCTCTGGTTAGTCCTTTTGTGCATATGGACTACTCAGAGGGCTGAAAAAGTTATTTTTGACTGGTCCTCGCACTTTTGACCAGTCCTCGAACTTACGACTGTCCTCACATTTTACATTTTTGCCCTATCTTGTCATCATGGTGAAGAGAAGCAGTTGTGAAATGAGTGACATGGTTGTTAAGAATGCTGCACGGGCATAAATGTGAGGATGGTCATAAGTGTGAGGACCAGTCAAAAGTGTGAGGACCTGTCAGAAATGACTTTCCAGCCCTCTGAGTAGTCCCTATACACATAGCCATGGCCACCCGGTCACATGACCAGCTAGCCACGCCCACCCAGTCACATGGCCTCCAAGCCACGCCCACACAATAAGCCACGCCCACAATGGTGTCCCTCTTACCAATGTTAAAATCTGTTCACCTTACCCTATACACATAGCCATGGCCACCCGGTCACATGACCAGCTAGCCACCCCCACCCAGTCACATGACCAGCTAGCCACGCCCACAAAATAAGCCACGCCCACAATGTCCCTCTTTACCAATGTTAAAATCTGGTCACCTTAGTATATGTCCACCAATCAATTTCCCTACCTAAATCCTGTTCCAATTCCGGTTTTGTTTTCAAATTTCGTTGTTCTTTTAGTATATCCCTATACCTAATTATCTTATCCATCTCAATTAAATTTGGGTGCTTTAATGCTTCCATTGGTGATAGCCACATTGGTATTTTTGCATAATGCTGTTTTTTTATTTTTAACCAGATTTCTAGCAATGCATTCCTTAGTATGTGCCTTCTAAAGTAGGTGTGTATCTTGTATTTTTGATCCCAAAGCAATGCATTCCATCCTACTTGTAGGTCGTGCCCCTCTATTGCTAAAACTCTTTTATTTTTTAATTCTATCCAATCTTTTAACCAGATTAAGATAGAAGTTTCGTACTATCGTCCCCGTTCTGGAAGTGCTAATCCCCCTTTGTCTTTTGTGTCTTGAAAAGTTTGAGTCTAATTCTCAGCCTTTTCCCCTCCCATATATAGTAACTATTTTATTTAAAGCATCAAAAAAAAAAAAAATCCTTAATTTTATTAGGATAACCTGAAACAAAAATAGTATTTTTGGCAGTATATTCATTTTGATTGTAGCGATCCTCTCCCAAAATGAGATCTGTAGTTGCCCTCCTTGATTGAGGAACATTTAGCTGTAAGCCAAATCCCTAAATATTTTATCTTCTTGGTTGTTTGTATTTTTATACTTGGGTGTGTGTGTGTGGGGGGGGGAAACACTTCACATGATCTTGATTCTATCCCTCTGTTTATGCAGCCTAGAACTGCGTTGGATTTTTTGGTGACTGCAGCACACTGTTGGCTCATATTTAAATGATTGTCTACTACAGGCCTCTTAAACTGGTGGCTGCCAGGCCGGATGAGTCACATGCAGGCCACGCCCGCCCTGGCTCCAGAGACAAAAAAGTCGCAATACGTCATGTGACACGATCAATTTTGACACCCGTAGTCTACAAGGACTCCAAGATGCCTCTCACAGTTACTACCATTTCTAAACTTATTTTAAATGTATTTCTAAAATACATTTAAAAAAAAAAGAGAAAAATAGAATATTCCACCAAAGCACATGGCTGACTGATCATCAGGATAACTTTATTACAGGGGCACCCTACACTGCCATTTTTTAATGAAGATCTAGTAAGAATTTCGGACTTTTCTTCTGAGGAAATGGAGAATTCCTCTGATTAGGGACTGGTGGCCTCTGGCCTGGCCCAATGGACCATCTCCTCTGGCATTGGATTGTCTTTTAGTTTGCTCAATTTTGTTAGATATGTGGTGTTAGTAAGTTTTTGGGGTCTCATTTTTCTATTAGGAAATATTTTGTTGGGTATTCTGCTATTTCCTTTGGATTCGTTTTAATGTTTCTTCTTTGTATAATGAAATTCAATAAATGTTTATTGTTGCTCTGCACTTAACTCTTAATCATGACATAAATTATTATTTTTATCCTCATATTGATACGTGTTGTCCACCTTTTTTACTTTCGGGGGATTTTCTTGTATGCATCACACATCTCCAATACCACCCCCCAAAAAGGAAAAATTGCAGAATTGGAATAAAAAGAAAAAGCACTCTTGACAATGAACTCTGTGGTACCTAGCCAACCACAAAAGTCTTTCAATGTCTTCTGTTCTGTTTCTTGTCCTATTTTATTCAAAAAACTATGTCCACTAAATATAATTTGTCCTCGCTGGGGTGAATAATGGACATTGTTTTAGAAAAGTTCAAGTCCCTGCCCAACACCCACAAGTCCATCACATTGTGCAATCAAACATTGTCCCAACTGGAGATGCCTCCCAGGTCCAGCCTTCCAGGTGCAGGGCAAGACGTCCTTGACTTTCTTGAGAAAAGAATGTCATTATGACTGTACATCACCCCTGCTCCATACAATCCCCCCTCCCAGTTTCCCACAGTAGTAAATGTGGCAGGACTGAAGGCCTAAGGCAAAAGATGGCTTCCAGGCCTGACACAGGATGGGCAGGGGGGATGCCAGCTGTGAGATTGGGATTGTCACATCAGAGGAAAGCAAGCCAGCAAAATAGTAGGGCAAACAAGAAAAGGGATGCTTTGTGAGGGAAATGAACAGAAGAGATAAGCAAGAGTAGAAGTAAAATATGATTAACTTGCAAAATGGCCTTTGTTTCAAAAACCCAGTTACTTCTTAGGGTTGTGGTGAAACAACGATCTTGTGAAACAACATGGTTAAAATGCTGTCCAACTATAAATTGGAGGGGTGTCAAGATGTTTAAATTTATAACTGGAACAGTGGGGGCTGTGTAAAGAGTCAGAACACACCGTTACAGCTGATTGATTGAAGAGAGCTGGCTACTGCATGAGGCAATCTGAACTGTGATTGGCTGCCTTGAGTGAAAAGGGGGAGTTTCCTTGTTTTCCGCCTTTTTACCCTGTGTGCTCTCTGTTTTACCTGATGTTTCTGTCGTGTTGATTTTACCTCACTTTGCTCCCATTTGCCTGTCTTTACTGTAAATATATTTATTTATATTAAGCCACAAGTTCTTGTCAACGTCTCTGACTCCATTTGGACACAGGCTGCACAATTCCCTGATACAAGTATCTTCCTTGTACCTTCTCCCACCTTCTTATACTCCTCTGAATTAGAGAGGTTTTTCTGTGAGTCTCTTCTGAATAGGATCCATATGCTGTGGACTTGGGGAGATGTTTTCCCCTTATCTCTTTAGTAATGGAGTTTGCATATCTCCCAAGATATTTTCTTTAGTCTGTGCACTGGGGCTTCTGGGCATAGGGTAGAGCGGGTGACAGTACTGGGCTAAGAGCAGGGAGATACAGTTTGTGTTCTCCACAGTCATGGAAAGTCCCGTGATTATCCAGACAGACCACTGAGTTACATCTTGGTTTCTCTAACCCTAACCCGTCTGTTTGAATTGTGCTGGTGAAATGAACAATCTTGGAATTCTTTGGTGTCTTCCAATCCCAGCAAAATCAGGATAATCTATCTGCATAGCTAAAACATCACTTTCGCTCCTACAAATAATATTCCTCTCTATATTTGAAGGATAAATGTTTGAAAAAAATTAAGGTGCTCTGGGAGAGAAATGAAAAACAGGAAACACCTCCCATGTGTTGGGAAGAGTGTTGGATTACCTTGTCTCAATGTTTACGTAAATGCTGACACTTTCCTTTTTTTCTCTCAAAATCTATTCATGATTCTTATGCAATGCTGCTTTAGAAATTGAAACATTTACTGTACAATTTTTCTCACATTTCCCAACCAAGGGGGGAACCACAAAATGTCAGACCCTTGGTGCTGCTCCCACACCCCAGCCATCAAAGACTAACAAGGAAGCAGGCACCTCCAAGCGAAGGAGTTGCGAATAAACCTGGAGCCTGTGCTTAGAAACACAAGGTAAGGACTTGCCTCTACTGTCTCTTCAAGAAAGCAGGACTCTTGAAACAGGAGGGATTTCAAAAGGAAATGTTTATTGAGAGACAGTGATAGTAAGTAGAGCAAGGTAGGATCTGAAGTTCCCGCTCAGAACCGTTAGGTAAAAAGTTGTAGAAACCCCTCCTCTCTGCCCAATCCAAAGGGAGCCAATACACAGGTGCAAAGTTGTTGTGAGACCTCTGAGTTGAGAAGGTGGTAAGAAGTTGTTCTCAGGCACTGCTTGCCCCTTCTGTTGGAGCTGAGACAAAACAGATGGCCACAGGCAATTCCTCACCCCTCCCATTTCTAGGAAAGTACATTAAAGTTGAGAAAAGGGCAGAAACGGGAAAATATCATAAAATGGCATTCAGGCTGTCCCTGCCAGAATGGCAGCATCCCCACAAGGATCTATGGGGACCTGACACACAATCCCTTTTCTCCTCAACTCAATATTCCTACAGCTCTTCTCCATGAAGGTCACCTGTAGGGCAGAACATTTACATCAGAAATTCTACACTGCTTTTGTCACTGCCTCAAACTCCCCCAATATATTTGCTATTTGTATGGTGTCTCCCACTTGCATGCCTCATTCTTGACAAAATCTGAGCAGACATGCTTGGCGCAATGAATTTCTGCAATTGTTAGGAAAAGATAAACTACTATGTTTTTCGGAGTATAAGACACAGTTTTCTCCCCCTAAGAGAGTGAAAATTTGGGTGCGTCTAATATACTGAATGTAGCCAAGCCCACCCACCGGCCCCACCCTTTGGCCATTTTTGGCCTCCACACATTGCGTTTTAGACCTATGCCAGAGCACATCGCCACTGATTGCTGCCTCTGTACATCGTGTTTTCAGCCTCTGCGGATCATGTTTTCGGCCTCTGCACGCCCTATTTTTGGCCTCTGCGCATTGTATTTTTGGGCAGGATCGGCGGCCTGGGACCACCCAAAAACACAATGTGCACAGGCCATAAAAGGGCTGTGGAGGCTGAAAATGCAATGCACAGAGGTGGCAATATGCTCTGGCGATTCCTGCAGCCTTGAAAAGTCTGAAATGGAGTGTTCAGAGGCTCAAAATGTGAGGCACGGAGGCAGCGATGGTCTGTAGCAATCCCTGCAGCCTGGAAAAGCTGATTGGGGGAGGACACCCAGGGAGAAGACGGGGCCTCTTCATGTGGCATTTCAATAATTTGTTATGATAAAAATGGAAAGAACACTCCTAAAAAGATGTTTGCAGATTTCTACAATTTTTGCAAAAATAAAATATCCAGCAATTTCTGCTGTTAATGGCCAAACAGTCCTTATCAAATTAACATGTTCCACTTTTTTCTTTCCTCCTTCCCATCTAATACCATGACATATTTGATGACAAAAAATCAGGCAAATTCTTTGTACTCAAATTAAAGAGTCAATTTCTCAGTTGAAATTCAAGCCTTCTCTACACTCATCATTTTGGGCCTCAGGTGCATTTTCTTGTGTGCAATAAGGGTGGAAGATTTCCTGAAGAAGCATGCACACTCAGAGCACTTAAATGGTTTCTCCCGTGTATATAAGCTTATGATTTGGAAGGCTATCCTTAGTACTGAAATCTTTGCAGTCTGGACACTCATATTCTAAAAGAAGGTCTTGATCCGAGGGAGACCACTGTACCTCAGATAGCCGGATGTGAGTCCCTTTTTGTGAAGTGGGGTCATGGGGCGCAGATGGGTCTGTTGATCACGTACCTGGCTCCCTGCCACGTGGCAACGACCCTGCCCGAGCTCCTCAATGTTATAGCCGAGGTGGCGGCTGATACCCCCAGACTTGTGGTCATGGGGGATTTCAACCTGCCATCCATCGGTGAAACATCTGAGGTAGCTCGGGAGTTCATGGCTTCCATGACGGCCATGGACCTGACCCAAGTAATTCACGGCCCTACTCATATGGGGGGACACACTCTGGACTTAGTTTTTATCTCTGGTCAGTGGTTGAGTGGCCTTGATATAGGGGATGTAGATATTGAACCCTTGTCATGGTCTGACCACTCGCTCCTTCGACTTGACTTTCTGACCGCCGTACCCCGTCGCAGGGAGGCGGAACCGACCAGGTGGTTCCGCCCCAGGCGCCTGATGGACCCTGATAGGTTCCAGATGGAGCTTGGGCCATTTCCTGAGACTCTAGCTCATGACTCGGCTGATGACCTGGTGGCCGCCTGGGATAGGGCGGCTGCCGGGGCTTTGGACCGGGTCGTGCCTTTGCGGCCTCTGACCCGGCACCGAACTCACTTAGCTCCTTGGTTTTCCGAGGAGCTGAGGGAGATGAAGCGCCGGAAAAGACGCCTAGAGAGCGGTTGGAGGGCCATTCGTTCCGAGTCTGACTTGACACTGGTAAGGTCTCATATTAAGACCTACCTAGTGGCGATAAAAGCGGCGAAATCTAGCTATTTTGCCGCTCTTATCGCGTCATCAGATAACCGCCCAGCCACCCTGTTTAGGGTGACCCGCTCCCTCCTCCATCTGGGAGCGCGGGAGGACCCCTTGCAGGGCCGAGCTGAGGATTTTGTACAGTATCTGGATGATAAAATAACTCAGATTCGGGAAGACTTGGCCGCCGACTGGGTTAGTTCAGACGAGATGACTGAGGCAGGCCTTGAGAGTGTTATCTGGGAGGAGTTCGATCCTGTGGCTCCCGAGGACGTGGACAGGATCTTGGGACGACTGAACGCAACCACATGTTTATTGGACCCGTGTTCCTCCTGGTTGGTGCTGGCTTCCCGGGAGGTTACACGAGGCTGGCTCCAGGGGATTATTAACGCTTCTTTGAGCGAGGGTGTCCTGCCGGCCGCCTTGAAAGAGGCGGTGGTGAGGCCTCTCCTCAAGAAGCCATCCCTGGATCCGGCTATTTTGGCTAACTATCGTCCAGTCTCCAACCTTCGCTTTATTGCGAAGGTTGTTGAGAGTGTGGTGGCGCGACAGCTCCCCCAGTACCTGGATGAAGCTGTCTATCTGGATCCGCTCCAGTCCGGCTTCAGACCTGGGTACAGCATGGAAACGGCATTGGTCGCGTTGGTGGATGATCTCTGGAGGGCCCGGGATAGGGGTTATTCCTCTATCCTGGTCCTATTAGACCTCTCAGCGGCTTTTGATACCATCGACCATGGTATCATGTTGCGCCGGCTGGAGGGACTGGGAGTGGGGGGCACTGTTCTGCGGTGGTTCTCCTCCTATCTCTCCGACCGGTCGCAATCTGTGTTGACAGGGGGGCAGCGGTCGACCCCAAGGCGCCTTGTTTGTGGGGTGCCGCAAGGGTCGGTCCTCTCGCCCCTCCTGTTCAACATTTATGTGAAGCCGCTGGGTGAGATCATCCGTGGTTTTGGGTTGGAGTTCCATCAGTACGCTGATGATACTCAGCTGTACATTTCCACCCCAGACCATCCCAATGATGCCTTGGAAGTGATGTCCCAGTGCCTGGAGGCCGTGCGGGTCTGGATGGGGAGAAACAGGCTTCGACTCAACCCTTCCAAGACCGAGTGGCTGTGGCTGCCGGCGTCCCGGTATAGCCAGCTGACGCCATTGCTGGTTATTGGGGGCGAATCATTGGCCCCCACAGAGAGGGCCCGCAACTTGGGTGTCCTCCTGGATGCGCGGCTGTCCTTAGAAGGGCATATGACAGCCGTGGCCAGGGGGGCTTTTTGTCAGGTTCGCCTGATACGCCAGTTGCGCCCCTTTCTGGACCGGGACTCCCTACGCACGGTCACTCAAGCACTCGTCACTTCTCGTCTGGACTATTGTAACGCTCTCTACATGGGGCTCCCCTTGGGGTGCACCCGGAGGCTCCAACTGGTGCAGAATGCGGCTGCGTGGGGGATTATGGGAGCGACGGGGCACTCCCATGTGACTCCTCTCCTGCGCGAGCTGCATTGGCTTCCAGTGGACTTCCGGGTGCGCTTCAAGGTGTTGGTGATCACCTTTAAAGCGCTCCATGGCTTAGGGCCAGGGTACTTACGGGACCGCCTTCTGCCACCAATAGCCTCCCACCGGCCGGTTCGCTCCCACAGAGAGGGCCTCCTCAGGGTGCCGTCGGCCAGACAATGCCGGCTGACGACCCCCAGGAGGAGAGCCTTCTCTGTGGTGGCACCTACCCTATGGAACAATCTACCCCCAGAGATACGAGTGATCTCCGACCTCCGGATTTTTCGTCGGGCCCTAAAAACTCATTTTTTTCAGCTAGCCGGTCTGTCCTGATTTTAGGGTTAGTTTTAAAATTTTAATATTTATTTTAAATTGACAAGTTTTAAATTATGGGCCAAATTTATAAATTATTTTAACTTTATTTTTTAACTGTGATGTTTGTATAGATGTTTTTTATCTGGCTGTTCACCGCCCTGAGTCCGAAAGGAGAAGGGCGGTATAGAAATTTGAATAAATGAAATGAAATGAAATATGGTTACTCTTCTATTTGAGTCCTCTGGTGACTCATCAGTCGACAATTCCAGAGGAAACTTTTCCCACAATCTGGACACTTATATGGTTTTTCCCCAGAGTGAGTCACCAGGTCATAATTCTGACTGAAACTTTTCCCCAATCAGGACATTCAAAGGGTTTCCCTCCTGTGTGAATCCTCTGGTGTTTCACCAGGTGGGAATTCTGACTGAATCTTTTCCCACAGTCAGAACATTCAAAGTGTTTCTGTCCTGTGTGAATCCTCTGGTGTTTCACCAGGTTGGAATTCTGACTGAAACCTTTCCCACAGTCAGGACATTCAAAGGGTTTCTCTCCTGTGTGAGTCCTCTGGTGTGTCACCAGGCTGGAATTATCACTAAAACCTTTCCCACAATCAGGACATTCAAAGGGTTTCTCTCCTGTGTGAGTCCTCTGATGTGTCACCAGGTGGGAATTCTGACTGAAACTTTTCCCACAGTCAGGACATTCAAAGGGTTTCTCTCCTGTGTGAGTCCTCTGGTGTGTCACCAGGCTGGAATTATCACTAAAACCTTTCCCACAATCAGGACATTCAAAGGGTTTCTCTCCTGTGTGAGTCCTCTGGTGCATTACCAGGTTGGAATTCTGACTGAAACCTTTCCCACAGTCAGGACATTCAAAGGGTTTCTCTCTTGTGTGAATCCTCTGGTGTATCACCAGGTGGGAATTCTGACTGAAACTTTTCCCACAGCCAGAACATTCAAAGGGTTTCTCTCCTGTGTGAGTCCTCTGGTGTATAACCAAGTAGGAATTCTGACTGAAACTTTTCCCACAATCAGGACATTCAAAGGGTTTCTCTCCTGTGTGAGTCCTCTGGTGCCTTACCAGGCTGGAATTATCACTAAAACCCTTCCCACAATCAGGACATTCAAATGGTTTCTCTCCTGTGTGAGTCCTCTGGTGTGTCAGTAAATTGGAATTATCACTAAAGCTTTTCCCACAGATAGGACATTCAAAGGGTTTCTCTCCCGTGTGAGTCCTTTGGTGCCTTACCAGGTTGGAATTCTGAGTGAAACCTTTCCCACAGTCAGGACATTCAAAGAGTTTCTCTCCTGTGTGAATCCTCTGGTGTATCCCCAGGTGGGAATTCTGACATAAACCTTTCCCACAGTCAGGACATTCAAAGGGTTTCTCTCCTGTGTGAATCCTCTGGTGTTTCACCAGGTTGGAATTGCGACTGAAACCTTTCCCACAGTCAGGACATTCAAAGGGTTTCTCTCCTGTGTGAGTCCTCTGGTGTGTCACCAGGTGGGAATTCGTAATGAAACTTTTCCCACAGTCAGGACATTCAAAGGGTTTCTCTCCTGTGTGAGTCCTCTGGTGTGTCACCAGGTGGGAATTCGTAATGAAAGTTTTCCCACATTCAGAACATTCAAAGGGTTTCTCTCCTGTGTGAGTCCTCTGGTGTATCACCAGGTAGGAATTCTTATTGAAACCTTTCCCACAGAAAGCACATTCAAACAGTTTCTCTCCTGTGTGAGTCCTCTGGTGTATCAGCAAATCGGAATTATAATTAAAGCTTCTCCCACAGAAAGGACATTCAAAGGGTTTCTCCCCCGTGTGAGTCCTCTGGTGCCTTACCAGGCTGGAATTCAGACTGTAACGTTTCCCACAATCAGGACATTCAAAGGGTTTCTCTCCCGTGTGACTCCTCTGGTGTGTCACCAGGCTGGAATTCTGACTGAAACCTTTCCCACAATCAGGACATTCAAAGAGTTTATCTCCTGTGTGCATGGTCTCGTGTCTCATGAGTTGGGAATTTCTAATGAAACTTTTTCTGCAACCTCGACACACACAGGGTTTCTCTGTGGAGTTAATCCTCTGATGTATCACCTAAAAGTTTTCCAACAATCAGGACAGTCAAACAATTTCCCTCCTATGTGAGTCTTCTGGCATATCACCAGGCTGGAATTGCAACTTTCCCATAATCAGGACATTCAAAGGGTTTCTCTTCTGTATGAGTTCTCTGATGTCTCATGAGATGAAAATCTCTAATGAAGCTTTTCTCACCGTCTAGACACTCATACAGTGTCTCCCTGGAGTCAATCCACTGATGGATCATCTGGCTGGAATTCTTACAATGCCTTGTTTACTGGGGCTGTCATTCAAGCCGGTTTCTTCCTCACACGGGTGCCTTACTGTCTACTCTACATGGCTTTACTATTGACCTTTTCCTCACCACTCAGTTCCAGATATTTCCCTTTTTTGCTGATTGAAAAATAATCTCCTTTGACTTTTCATGTAACGTATCCTTGAATTCTGCATAATCTGCTTATTCTTTCTTGATTTTCTCTCTTCTGTCTAACAGCTGTTGGAGGAGGAGGAGGAAAATTCTGTGTTTTTCTGAAGGAAATGGAAAATATTTTGATTTCTGGCTTGATTATCTTCACTTTTCAATGTTCCTTGTTATTTCCAGTTGTCCAGAGTGCTCTTATTGCCATCCTGTTTGTCTGTAAGATTTAAAGAAAAGTGTAACTTTTTTTATAAAATGGTTAGAGATGTGAAAAATGAAAAAAGTTTATATTACAATGAAAAAGCAATCATGCCCCAATACTAGAATCATCACTGAAATTATTTATGATTCATTTGATGCATGGAAGACTAGCGATATCCACGTTCAAATATCCATTCAAATTCAATTGTTGATTGGGGTCAATCACAAATTCTTAGCAATGGAAAGGACTATCATCAATTATATTTTTGTTTTATTTTTTAAAACATAAAACATAAAATACATCTTTTTAGAGCAAGGATTTGATCCGGTATAAATTAAATACAATTACTCACATTCCCTCAACCAATTTTGTTCCAAATTTTATCCATTTACCTCTTTAAAAAAAAAAAAATCTTATTCTAAACATTTAGATTTTAAAAAATCTACTATGTCACCCTAAATTCTAAACAATTATTTCCAAATAGACATCATTCCAAATCTTTGTCATTTTAACAATCAATATTTCATATATATTCCTCATTTCTAAGACCTATTACATCGAGTCTATATTGTACCTCTTTTAAATGGCAACTAGTATCCATAATCTTGACAAAGAATATTTTCCTCCTCTCTTAATTGTTTCTAAATCAATCAACATTAGAATTTGTCACTCCCAAAATACTTTATTTTAAAGTCTAATAGTTAAGATGATTCATAATTTAAATAGCTATTTCCCAACAGTGTTTTCCGCCACTTCTATCTCTATTTATTTAACTGGTTCACAGTTTGGCTTAACTATTCTCCAGTATTATCTCCTCCACTTCCTCCTGAGTTAATTTTTTGGCTGGTTCGCATCTTAATCGATTGCTTTCCAGCAATGCTTTCCTCCACTCCTAACCTTACTTATTTGAGCTGGTTCACAGTATAATTTTAACTGCATACCAACATTATCTCCTTCAATCCTCCTAAATCTATTATAAAACTGGTTCACAACTCAAATAGTTGCTTCTCAGCAATGCTTTCCTCCGCTCCAACTTCTATTTTTAACTGGTTCACAACTATATTTCAGTTGCTCTCCAGGTATATTTTCTTCCACTCCTCACTTTTTATTTTTTGGCTAGTTCACAGTTTTGCTTTAACTGTTACCTAGCGTGTGCTTTCTTCCACTCCTAACTCTTATTTTTATTTTTAACTATTTCCCAGTTTTGCCTTAACTGTTCTCCAGAATCATGCTTCCCTCCACTCCTAACTTCATTTGTTTAACTAATTCATAACACTTTATTTTAATTATTGTCCAGCTTTATGTTTTCCTCCTTTTCTACATCACTTATTCAATTATTTAACTTTAAATTAATTCACAATATATTATTCATATTCATTTTTAAATCCATTCTCCTCCATATCTTTAACTGATTTAAAATAAAAAAGTATATCGACAAATATCTTAGCTCCTATTCTCTCCTAGGCTTTCTCCCGTGTCATATTTATTTCCAGTGAATATCAACATTTTAAATCACTTTAAAATCAATTTTCCATAATTATTAAATCTGTAATTAATTCTTCTTAATATCCAGCACCTTAGAAAACATTTTCTTCTAAATTATTAGGTCTGCAAATAGAGCTTAAAAATTCCAAGTTTAAAAAAGTATTAAAACATCCAAAAATCATAATTTTCAATCATTTATACTCATTTTTTCCTAGTCAAATTGTTGTATATTCATAAAATCAACTTAGATAAAAATAATAGTAAAAAAGAGAGAATAGTAACAATATTAATAACAGTTAAAATAAAAACAAAAGGATAAAAACAAGGATAAATAGGAAAGAGAATAGAAATATAACAAAAGAAATTGAAAAGAGAATTAGAAAAAATAGAGAGGGAAAAAGGGACAAAAGAAAAAAAACAGAAAAAAGAAATAAAATAAAATAAAATTGAGAGAGAGCCCAGAGAAGAAGGAAGGTATCTCCTAAAATTATTCAAAGATCAAACTCCCAGACACCATTACATCCATTTAATTCAAACTATGGTATTTTGTTATCTTGTTACTTTATATTCCATTTTTTCCCCCTCTCTAATCTATCTCTGTGGGGGCACCTGCCATCTGGAATGAGCTCCCCCCGGAGATACGGAGGATCCCGGATCTGCACACTTTCCGCCGCACCCTCAAAACATTCTTATTCCAGCAGGCTGGTCTGGTCTAACCTCCTTTTTTAATTGTTTTTAAATTGGTTTTATAATTGGGGTGTTTTAAATCTGGCCAATGTATTTAATGTATTTTAAATGGTTTTTAACGTTTGTATTATGTATATTTTACTTTCTGGCTGTTCACCGCCCTGAGTCCTTCGGGAGTAGGGCGGTATATAAATACAATCATCATCATCATCATCATCATCTGAGTATATTTATTTTCCATTTCAATGTCCTCAAAGTTAGAAGTTCTATAAAGTTAATTCTGAATTGACTGTTCCATATATGGTATCATCATGTTCTTCTTTTGTTGCCATGCCCTTTTTCTCTTGTTGTCACGCTTAATAAATCAGTTTTCATTATTCCATTTAGTTTCTTCTTTCTGATCTTCAATATCCTCCAATACACAGATTATATGTCGAAAGTCAAGCCTCTTGAAATTTTTCTCAAAATAATCCACTTTAAATAACAGGCATTAAAGTTTCTCTTTCAAGTAACAAGCAGTCTGGAAGTTACACTTTCCCTTTTCAGCTGGCAGCCATCTTTTCCATCTTCTTTTGTCTTTTATCTTTACTTTTAAAAACATATTTATTTCCTCTTCTCCTTCCTCTCTCTCAAACATAATCCAATCTCGTTTAGCCACAAAAAAAAAAAAGACCAAATCTGTAATAAAATCATTTCCAAAAAGTCTATAATTAATGCTATCTATCAACAGGTCTTTTCTCCACCATTCTTTTGAGTCTTTTTGCCCCGATGTTTCTCAGCCACTGTTAAGGCTAGGCACACTTTTTGTAAATCCAACATTTATGGGCAGTTCTCGCCTGGGCAGAAGTCAACTCACCTGGCTTTCAAACTCCCTGCTCCGCTCTCCGCTTCTCCTCCTCTCCTCCAGCACGATCTTTGTTCCCGGTTGCCGCGGTTTCGGGATGGCCGCCATGGCTGTCGTTCCACTGCCGCCAGCATGAAGGGAAAGCCTCCGGCCCCGAGGAACCTGCCCATTCCTCTCGGCAGCCCAAGGGGTCCCTTCTTGTCCCCCTGTCCCTTCAAGATCCGAAGACCTGTCGGCAGAAGTTTGGCAGACGGGGTTTTGGCAGAGCTCCATGGAGCTCACCATTTCCCCATCTGTATCCCCACAGCGCCAACTGGAAGTCCATCAATTATATCTTGAAGTACGGTGAATAGGTTATGTAACTGTGGATATATGCATATAGAGAAGTATAGATTCACCACTATATAGCAGAAAATACTGTCTACAACCCCTATGGTGACATCCTTGTTCAAGTAGTCCTTACTTAACCTACCGCAATTAGAACTGATATCTGCGTCACTAAGCAGCTCAATCATTAAGCATGATGTCACATGACAGGGCCAACTTACATCTGTTCCTCTGTAGTTGTTAAGCAAATTACTGTGGGTTGCTAAAGGCAATTTCATATGACTGTGACTTGCAATTTCCTGCCAGTATATCCACTGATTTTGCTTGTCAGAAGCTAGCTGGGAAGGTCACAAATGGGGATCATGAGTGTGGGATGTTGCAGGCATCATAAATGTGCAACTATTGGCAGAATCCGAACTGGTGCAACTTCTTTTCCTGCACCTTCAAAACCACAGTCACTGCTGACGTGCGGTCACTGAACAAGTGCTAGGATTACAAATTTTGTGGACCAGGTACACGTTTGCTTCTACTGTGCCACAGGAACTTTGAAGGCTCAGGGAAGAAGTGGTAAGTGAGGACTACCTGTGCAACTAAAGATGCCAAAAGGTCCTCAAAAGCTATTTTTTAGGAAGTGCTGGATTAAGCACAATTGAACCTGGTTAATACATGGATGGTGGGACAGGAAATACCATACTTATTGGCAAGACATGGAAGTAAAAAAACTTGTAAATTTTATTCATCTGTCATTGTCAATACATGTGTGGATTCCTAACCAATTTAGCTGACAACTTTGTCATCCAAAAGGTAGAGGAGGGAACTAGAGGAAAAACTATAATGGACCTAATTCTTACTAATACAGAAGAAATAGAAGGAGTTGAAGTTGCCATAACGTTTATCGAGAGTGACCACATCATACCGGAATTCAATATTCCTTAAGGAATATTCCAATATTCCTTAAGAAAAATTCCTTTTCAATCTTTTCAATTTTTTAAAAAATGTTTAAACTCCTTGTTCCAATTTTAAGTCTTCTTTTTTCAACTCTTAAATAACATTTTTAATTTAATTTTTTTAATTTTTAAATCTTTTTCAATTCTAAAATTCTTTTTTCAATTTTTTAATAAAATTCTTTTTTCAATTTTTAAATCTTTCGATTTTAAAATTCTTTTTTCAATTTTTTAAATAATATTCCTTTTTCAATTTTTCAATTTCTTTTTTCAACTAAACATTAAAAAAAGTTTACTTATTTTAATTCTTTAGAAATGTTTAAATTCTTAATGATCTAAGAGGAAAAAAATAAACAACAGAAAAGGAGACAGACACTTAAAACAGGGAAGATAGTGAAGAATTTTCTAAGACAGAAGAGAAAAGGTCAAGAACTCTTGTAAACTATTGTAAACTGACACTTTGCAACAGAAAATATTTAAATTTTTTTAAAAAATTAATTTTAATTTTTAAGCCAACAAAGAAAAGTCATGGAGATAGAAACTGACACTATAGTTCTTGCAAAGTCTGCCATATGTTTCAGCTTATGCCCACAGAGGATCCAAACTATAAACTACTTGAATTACTAGAAGAAAAACTAAAATGTTTAGAGGCAACTTTAGCACTCTGAAAGCCAATGAGCAAAAGAGAAATCCCAACCTAACCAAGAAGACTACACCAAAGTAAAAAACAATAGGGAGCAAATGCATTGGCAGTGGCATCCTTCAGTCTCAAAAAACTATGGTATCGTGCTGTGGAAAGCAGTCTTAAAACAGCATCTAGTGTGACTAAAAAGGCCAATTCGAGAGTGGCAATCCCTTCGATACTGAGGGAGCAGACTCCATTGTTGTTGTTAGTTGCGAAGTCATGTCCGACCCATTGAGACCCCCATTAACAATGTTCCTCCAGGCCTTCCTGTCCTTTACCATCCCCGATTACATTTAGGCTCACGCCGAGTGCTTCAGTCACTCCATCCAGCCACTTCATTCTCTGTCGTCCCGTTCTTCTTTTGCCCTCAATCTTTCCCAGCGTTAGGCTCTCCTCCAGTGAATCCTTCCTTCTCATTTGGTGGCCAAAGTATTTAAGTTTTATCTTCAGGATTTGGCCTTCTAAAGAGAAGTCAGGGTTGATCTCTTCTAGGACTGACCAGTTTGATCGCTTTGCAGTCCAAGGGACTCGCAGGAGTCTTCTCCAGCATCATAGTTCAAAGGCCTCAATTCTTTGGCACCCAGCCTTTCTTATGGTCCAACGTTCACAGCCATACATTGCAACTGGGAAAACCATAGCCGACTATACGCACTTTTGTTGGCAGGGTGATGGCTTTGCTTTTTAGTATGCTGTCTAGATTTGCCATAGCTTTCCTCCCCAGGAGCAAGCATCTTTAATTTCTTGGCTGTAGTCCCCATCTGCAGTAATCCTGGAGCCCAGGAAAATAAAATCTGTCACTACCTCCATTTCTTCCCCATCTATTTGCCAGGAATTGAGAGGGTCGGATGCCATGATCTTAGTATTCTTAACGTTGAGTTTCAAGCCAACTTTTGCACTCTCCTCCTTCACCTGCATCAAGAGGCTCTTTAGTTCCTCTTCACTTTCTGCCATTAGAATGGTATCATCTGCACATCTGAGGTTGTTGTTTCTCCAGGCAATTTTAATTCCAACTTGTGATTCACCTAGCCCCGCCTTTCTCATGATGTGCTCTGCATATAAGTTAAATAGGCAAGGCGACAGTACACAGCCTTGCCGAACTCCTTTCCCAATTTTGAACCAATCAGTGGTTCCGTGTCCAGTTCTCACTGTTGCTTCTTGACCTGCATATAGGTTTCTCAAGAGACAAATAAGATGGTCTGGTGCTCCCATCTCTGTAAGAACTTGCCACAACTTCATGTGATCCACACAATCAAAGGCTTTAGCATAGTCAATGAAGCAGAAGTAGATGTTTTTCTGAAACTCCCTCACTTTCTCCATGATCCAGCATAGGTTGGCAATTTGATCTCTAGTTCCTCTGCTTCTTCGAAATTCTGCCTGTAATTCTGGTAGTTCTCGGTCCACATACTGCTGGAGGCGGTCGAGGACTTTTCGCCTCGGTCTATTCGCCTCGCCTATTTCACCTTGAGGTTTTTGCCTCTGTGTTATTAGCCACATACTTTTCTCCTCAGCTGACCCCACCCCCAGTCTGCACATCAGCCACGCCCCTTTGTCCCAGTCCGTTCGCCAAGGCCCATTCGTCGAAGTACATTTAATGTTGGGCTTTTGGCCTCCCAGGACAATTCACAGCCAGCCAATCTTTTGAGGATTTGGGGAAGAGGGGAAGAGGACATTTCCATCCTTGCAAGCCAGGCTGCTTGCAAGGATGGAAATGAAGAGGACTGAGGTTTCACTGAAAGGAGTATGTTTGAAGTCCAGTATGTTTGGAGTCTGAGAAGAAAATTCTTTTTACCACTTTTTTTTTTTTTTTTTTTGCCTGGGGCAAATACATTGATCTGGCTTTGATTTGCCTGCTCTTTACTCTTAACAACCTCTTTCCTCAATAAACAAACAGGAGAACTTAAATAGCCAGATTTTGTCTTTGGTGCATATGCTCTCAGTGTACATAAAAAGAAAAGTTACTCTCATCAAGAATCATAAGGTACAAAACTTAATGGTAGTCATAGGGTACAAATAAGCAATCGAATCATACTAGTGTAAGGTTTGGCAATACGCTTAAGCAAAAAATGAACCAAAACAAAGACTTAAACGGAGGCTTGAAAACCAAAGAAAATAGGCTTTATTCTTTGATCAAAGTAAGAAGTTCCAAACACATTTACCAGAAACATGGAAGGAAAATTCTACAAAACATGAGACATAGCAGTATAATATTACTCTAGTCATATAATCTGCATTGTAAAAGTCAGTAAAAATAAAGAAAGTAACACTTCTTTTTATGTACACTGAGGGCATATGCACCAAGACAAATTCCTTGTGTGTCCAATCCTATAGGGGATAGTGATGGAGCCCGTGTCTTTGCGGCCTCTGACTCAGCGCCAATCTCACTTGGCTCCTTGGTTTACCGAGGAACTGAGGGAGATGAAGCGCTGTAATAGACACCTGGAGAGCAGTTGGAGGGCCAGCCTTTCCGAATCCGACCAAACACTGGTGAGGGCTCACATTAAGACCTACCGAGTGGCAATAAAAGCGGTGAAATTTAATTATTTTTCCGCTCTTATTGCGTCATCAGATAATCGCCCGGCTGCCCTGTTTAGGGTGACCCGCTCCCTGCTCCATCTGGGAGCGCAGGAAGACCCTTTGGAGGGCCGGGCCGAGGACTTTGTACAGTATCTGTATGACAAAATCGCTCAAATTCGGGAAGACTTGGACTCTGACTGGGTAGATCCGGGAGGGGTGATGGAGGAAGGTCTTGAGAATGTTATCTGGGAGGAGTTTGATCTTGTGACTCCCGAAGATGTGGACAGGATTCTGGGTAGACTTAGTCTCCAACCTTCACTTTGTGGCAAAGGTTGTTGAGAGTGTGGTGGCGCAACAGCTTCCCCAGTACCTAGATGAAACGGTTTATCTAGATCCATTCCAGTCGGGTTTCAGGCCTGGATACAGCACGGAAACAGCATTGGTCACATTGGTTGATGATCTCTGGAGGGCTCGGGACAGGGGCTGTTCTTCTGTCCTGGTCCTATTAGACCTCTCAGCGGTTTTTGATACCATCGACCATGATATCATGCTGCTCTGATTGGAAGAGTTGGGGGTGGGGGGCACCGTGTTGCGGTGGTTCGCCTCCTTTCTCTCTGACCAGTCGCAGTCGGTGTTGGCAGGAGGGCAGAGATCGACCCCGAGGCGCCTTGTGTGCGGGGTGCCACAAGTGTCGGTCCTCTCGCCCCTCCTGTTCAACATTTATGTGAAGCCACTGGGTGAGATCATCCGTGGTTTCGGGGTGAAGTACCACCAGTACGCTGATGACACTCAGCTATAAATCTCCACCCCGGGCCACCCCAATGATTCCCCTGAAGTGATGTCCCGTGCCTGGAGGCTGTGCGGATCTGGATGGGGAGAAATAGACTCAGGCTCAACCTGTCCAAGACTGAGTGGCTGTGGTTTCCGGCGTCCCGATATAGCCAGTTGGTGCCATCACTGACTATTGGGGGCGAATCATTGGCCCCCACGGAGAGGGCTCGCAACTTGGGTGTGCTCCTGGATACACGGCTGTCTTTAGAAGAACATCTGACGGCTGTGCCCAGAGGGACTTTTTATCAGGTTCGCCTGATTCGCCAGTTGCATCCCTTTCTGGATCAGGACTCCTTAGGCACAGTCACTCATGCCATCGTCACTTCCCACCTGGACTACTGCAATGCTCTGTACATGGGGCTCCCCTTGAGGAGCACCCGTAGGCTCCAGCTGGTCCAGAATGCGGCCGCATGGGTGGTTATGGGAGCGACATGGTGTTCCCATGTAACACCTCCCCTGCGCGAGCTGCACTGGCTCCCGGTGGTCTTCCAGGTGCGCTTCAAGGTATTGGTTACCACCTTTAGAGCGCTCCATGACTCAGGACCTGGATACCTACGAGACTGCCTTCTGCCACCGGTAGCCTCTCACCGGCCAGTACACTCTGACAGAGAGTGGCTCCTCAGGGTGCATTCGGCCAAACAGTGTCAACTAGTGGCCCCCAGGGGGAGAGCCTTCTCTGTGGGGGCACCTGCCCTTTGGAACGAGCTCCCCCCGGAGATACAGAGGATTTCAGATTTATGCACCTTCCGCCACACCCTCAAGACTTTTTTATTTCAACAAGCTGGGCTGGCTTAACTCTTTTAATTATTTAATTTTAATTTGTTTTTAAAAACAGGGGTATGTATTTTATCTTGGCTGTTCACTGCCCTGAGTCCTTCGGGAGTAGGGCGGTATATAAATCTAAATAAACTGAAACTGAAACTGAAACAATCACACTTGGCCAATAAAGAATTCATTTGTTCACTCAATGGTATGTCCTTATAGGAGAGGACACAATTTTTTTCCTTAGGAAATTAAGAGGGAATCTGGCTATTTAAGTTCTGATGTTTGTTTATTGAGGAAAGAGGTTGTTAAGGGTAAAGGGTAGGAAAATCAAAGCCAGATCAATGTATTTGCCCCGGCCAAAAAAAAAAAAAAAGTGGTAAAAAGAATTTTTCTCTCAGACTTCAAACATACTGGACTTCACACATACTCCTTTCAGTGAAACCTCAGTCCTCTTCATTTCCATCCTTGCAAGCAGCCTGGCTTGCAAGGATGGAAATGTCCTCCTCCCCCCCTCCCTCCCGCCCCCCACCCACCCACCCCCCCGTCATTTGTGGCAAAGAGATGCGAACCAGCCCTTGTCTCAGGCACTTTGGCTCGCAAGTATGGAAATGTCCTCCTCCCCTCTTCCCCAAATCCTCAAAAGATTGGCTGGCTACAAATTATCCTGGGAGGCCAAAAGCCCAACGCGAAATGTACTTCAATGAATGGGACCCGGTGAACGGACTGGGACGAAGGGGCCGTGGCCGATGTGCAGCCTGGGGGCGGGGTCAGCTGAGGAGAAAAGTTTGTGGCTAATAACACAGAGGTGAAAATCTCACGTTGAAACAGGCAAGGCGAATAGACCGAGGCGAAACGGACATTGACTTACCTTTTCAGAACGCTGCGACTCCAATCCATCCACTGGGTCTTCTCCTAGTCGCTGGGGAATACTGAGTGTAGATTTGTCTCTCCTCTGGCTCACCATGCCCACTCTGTCAGTCCTACGTCAGTCTTTCCTCACGAAGGAACAAAAAAACCATAAGTCTAAAAGCCGGAACAACAACCATAACAGGTAGCAGGACTTCGGGAACAGGAAGCCCTAACAGGGTGGGCATGGATTGGAGTCGCAGCATTCTGAAAAGGGACATTCAGGTAAGTCAACGTCCGTTTTCCAGCACGCTGCTCCTCCAATCCATCCACTGGGATCTACCCAAGCTGACTATCCTGGGCGAATGAACGACGAAGCCGACGCCCACGTGGCTGCTCGGCAAATATCCAGGACAGAAGCTTGCGTAGCCCAGGCCACTGTCGTCGCTGCACTACGGGTCAAATGAGCATAAAGCTTTCCTGGAACAGGTCTGTCTTTGATGTCATACGCGGTCTAAATGCAGGCCTTGATCCACCGAACTGAAGCCAGAAGAGACGGCGATTGGTGATTGACGATGCTAAGGCGCGAGAGGCGAATTTAGCGGCATTAAGGGAAGCATCCGCTGAGTACTCTGTAGCCGCCACAATTTTGTTGATATCTTGTTGGATGCGCGTCTCATTCGCAGGGAGACGCTCCTGCAGCTGCCGAAGCCAGAACAATGTAGCTCTATTGAAGAACGAAATGGCAGTAGCTACCTTGATCGCCCAAGCAGCTGCCTCATGCATCTTCCTAAAGCCCAACTCGGCCTTACGTTCCTCAGACTTCAATCCATCCAATACGTCAGCGGATATAACAGAAGGAGATGAAAGGCTGGCCACAGGCGTATCAACAGATGGTAGACCCAATATGTCCTCTAACTCCGAAGCTGCACAATAAAGACGCTTGTCCAGATTACTTGGGGCAGTTAGAGACCCAGGATGCCCAAACGCACTCTGAACCATCTCAGTAAACAGCGGTGGGCAAGGGATGACGTCCTTATCTGGCTTGGACACCTGAAACAAGGCGTCATGAGGGGATGCAGCCGGTGTAACACTGTCAGATGGTGAAGTTATCAAACCACATTGGGTAGTGACCTTAGCCTTATACAATAGCGATTTAAAAACAGAAGGTCGAAAAAGTCCAACAAATACCGGCTTGTCAGGTGGCAAGCCTTCATCCTCTGAGAATTCAAGATCTTCAGGACCGTCACCAGCCTGGTCCGACTCCTCAGATGACGTAACCTCCACAGGAGCCAAAGCTGGTGCCTCAGTACGGCGAGCAGGGCGACCTTGAGTATGAGAGCTCGCAGCAGAAGGTTGAGACGCGCTGGAACCTTGTTGGAGTCCAGCCGCCAAAATCTTCGCCAAGGCATCTGACAACATGGACTGAAGCTCCAGCTGAGAGGCGGGTTCTTCTGGCTGAAGCCCCGCCGCCGTTGGTGTAAAGGTCGCCTCAGGGGCACGCCTAGAACTCACAGGCTGATCACTCAGAGGTGCCAAAGAGACATTGGGCAGGGACATCGAAACCCTCCTTGAAGCCTGCAAATTCGACATAGGCTCGCCCTGGTAGCAACAACAGTCAGAGGTCCCTGACTGGGATCTGGCTACACCGTCTCTGGTTGTAGAGTTGGACGGAGAGGGAGGTTCCGCAGCCAATTCAGGACAGGCTAATGATCCCTTGGTCTTTCTGACCTTTTCAAATTGTTTTTCAAGTGCTTTATGGCGGCGCAGCTCAACTCTGGTATGAGCTAAGGCCTTGGAACGAGATGTTTTGGCAGGTCTATCAGAAGTCTTGGCTTTACTCCGTTTGTGTCCTGCCCTAGGTTGATCGTTGCTCAAATGCTGCTCAAATGCCTGCTCCAGATCTGATGATAAATCGGAATCTGCCATTTTGCAGGTGCCAAGTGCAGTTGATGGCAAAGGTTGCTAAGGAAGGCTAAGCTCCGATGCACAGTGGAAGCAGTTCCTTCCCTTAGAACAGCAATGGGGTTCAAATGTGTGCAGGGCCAGCAAGGCCTGACTAAACGTCCACAGTCTCCAATCGCCCCAACGCTCACGGGAGTGCCAAACAACGCCGCCTGAACAAGTTAGCAACACGCCCCAAATTAGCTCAGTACCTCAGGCCTGTAATGGTAATTCAAAATGGCAGCCGCCAACCTTCAGTCAGTCAAAATGATGGTCGCACCTGTCAACAGTCCCCAAAAAAAGGGAACACCGCCGAACGATCCCAAAATGGCGGCCGCCCGTTCCTCACTCCGATAACGACAGCCGCGAGCCTCCAACGGAATCACCAGCGGTCGGCGACTCCGTGCTCGATCAGGGCACTGTCAGGCAAGCCTGGACATCAGAGTATGCTGGATCGCATAGGCATTGACTCCGGAGCCGCTAAAATTTCAGAGCTGAGACGTTCGTGGCTGTACTGGCTCACTGGTATCCCAACGAGATGCCATCAGCTAAATACTGCACGGATCCGCCCAGCCGGGTCGGAATCCGGAATGCTGCTGAGGGATGGTGAAATCCGAAGCGGATTTCACTGGAGCCCCAGGCTCGTTACCGCCCCTTGCAGCCACAAAGCTCCCACGTAGCAGCTCCTTCTACATTAATAAGCTAACTAATCAGCTATAACAACAAAAAAAACCCCAAAATAAAGAAAATTTAGCTAAACCAAGTCAGCCAGAGAAATCACTCGAGAGAGAAGCAAAGAAGCAAGTTTCCTCAGTCACTGAGTGAGAAAGACTGACGTAGGACTGACAGAATGGGTGTGGTCAGCCAGAGGAGAGAGAAATCTACACTCAGTATTCCCCAGCAACTAGGAGAATATCCCAGTGGATGGATTGGAGGAGCAGCGTGCTGGAAAAAGTCCCATTCTGTGCTGGAGACTAGATTGTAGGATTTTGAGCATAACTTTGCTAACATGTGAAATGAGTGCAATGGTGGGGTACTTGGAACATTCTTTGGCATTGCCCTTCTTTGGAATTGGAATGTAAACTGACCTTTTCCAATCCTGCGGCCACTGTTGAGTTTTCCAAATTGAGGGTAGCACTTTTACTGCATCGTCTTTTAAGATTTTGAAGAGCTGAGATGGAATATTGTCACCTCCACAAGCTTTGTTGTTGCTCAGATGTTCCCAAGGCCCATTTGACTTCACATTCCAGGATGTCTGGCTCAAGGTCAATGACCAACCCATTGTGGTTATCAGGGATATTAAGCTCGTTTTTGTATAGTTCTTCTGTGTAATTTTGCCACCTCTTCTTAATCTCTTCTGCCTCTGTTAGGTCCCTGCCATTTTGGTCCTTTATCATGCCCATCTTTGCATGAAACTATGTATGTATTAAAGGTAAAATATTTGAATTAATAGAAGAAAAAGTAAAGTGTTTAGAGGCAACTCAAGCACTCTGAAAGTCAAATTTATTTTAAAAATGGATTCACCCAAATCGAATACAATACGGAACAAACAGCTTCCGTAAAAAATGAGCCTCCATATGTATCTAAAGAGGCAATGGAAACATGTCACTCTTAGAAGAAAACAACCAAGAGCCCCTACTATCTATCAGACCACCCAACCAAGCAGAAGAAATAGATGAACTCTTTGCTAATCAATTAACAAATGTATGTAAGAAAAATACTGCAATAGTAATGGGAGACTTTAACTGTCCTGATGTCAACTTGGAGACAAACTCTGCAGCAAGTGGGAGATTGAACAGATTCCTAACCAATTTAGCTGACAACTTTATCATCCAAAATATAGAGGAGGAAACTAGAGGAAAAACTATACTGGACCTAATTCTTACTAATAGAGAAGAAGTGATAGGCGTTGAAGATTTCGGAACCTTGGGCAAGAGTGACCACATCTTACTGAAATTCAATATAAAGCAAACACAAGCAATAGAGTATAATCCAACCAATGTTTTAAACTTTAGAAGAGCTGATTTTAACAAACTCAGGGAGACCCTAAGCAAAATTTCATGGATAAAAAGCCTAAAGGGGAAAACAACTCAAGAAGCGTGGGAAACACTGAAAAATATGATCATATAAGCCCAGTCAAACACTATACCACTAAAAAGGAAAAACATGAAATCCAACAAGAAACCAGCATGGTTGCAGATCTCTCACTCTGATAAACCAAAAGATAAAAAGGACAAGTACAAAAAGTGATAAGAGGGACATATAATTAAGGCAGAATATCAGCAGATAGCCTGAATCTGCAAAGATGAAGTCAGGAAAACAAAGGCTCACAATGAACAAAGACTTGCAACAAAAGTCAAAGATGATAATAAAAAGTTTCAACATATAAATATCAATAAAAAAGTCAAGGAAACAGTTGGTCCACTTGAGAAGATAGCAAGGAAGTAACAGGCAGTAGAGAGAAAGAAGAGCTACTTAACTCATTCTTTGCAACAGTCTTCACACAAAAGGAAACTATTGTCCAACCTACCAAAAACTATAAAAAACAGACTAGAAATAAAAATTAAAATAAGCAAGAAAATGGTAAGAGAACACTTGTCTGACCTGGATGAATATAAATCACCAAAACCTGATGGATTACATTCCAGAGTTCTGAAAGAGCTGGCAGATGTTATCTCATAACTATTGTATTATATCTTTAAAAAATCTTGGAGCACTGGGTTTGTAGTTTTGTAGTTTCCTGGGTCTGGTTTTTCTTTTCTGAAGATGGGAACTACATTAGCTCTTTTCCAATCCTCAGGTAATACTCCGGGATACCCCAGGATTTTTGAAAGACTTGAACCCTGGGCCCAAATGAAACTCAATGGAGAAAAAGAACCCCAAGGTTTTACACTTAAGCAAGAAAAACCAAATGTACAGGTACAGAATAGGTGGCACCTGGCAGTATCTATGAGAGGGAACATAGAATCCTAGTCGGCAATCATTTAAATATGAGCCAGCAGGGTGTTGCAGTGGCCCCAAAAGCAAATGCAATCTTCATCTGTATTAACAGAGGGATACAGTCAAGATCAAGTGAAGCATTAGTACCAATTTATAAGGCTTTGGTAACACCACACTTGGAATACTGCATCCAGTTTTGATCACCACAATATAAAAAGGTGTTGAGACTCTATAAAGAGGGCAGAGAAGAGCAGCAAGGGTGATTAGAGGGCTGGAGGTTAAAGAATGGTTGCAGGAAGTGGGTATGTCTAGCCTAGTGAAAAGGAAAACTAGGTGTTCCAATACATTAGGAGTTGCCACAAAGAAGTGGGAGGGGGTTTCAACCTCTTCTCCAAAGCACCTGAAGGTAGGAGGAGAAACTGGATGGAGCAAGGAGATAAGCAGCCTCGAACTAAGGAGAAACTTCCTGACACCCAGAACAATTAACCAGTGGAACAGCTTAGCCTTCAGAAGTTGTGGGTGCTCCATCACTGGAGGCTTTTAAACAGAGACTGGAGAGCCATTTGTCTGAAATGATATCGGGTCTCCTGCTTGATCAGGCGGTTGGAATAGAAGACCTCCAAGGATCCTTCAAACTATGAGCTCCTCTGTTACAAACCTCCAGGGATGCAGCACCCACCACCTCTGGAGAACCAACCTCCACTTGAAAGAGGCTTTTTCAAGCTTCCCACCAGCAGAAATTGCAGCCCCCAGTTTCCCAGCCTGCAGCACCAGTGGGCTTCCATTTGGGGAGGGAAGGAACCTGCAGCAGCAGCAGCTGAGAGGCTTCAGCCCAGTTGCTTCTCCGCTTCCAGCCCAAGTTGCTCCCGGACTCTCCTCCCACCTGCTGCCCTCCACTCACCTGGCAGCTGCTGCTTCCACCATGGAAACAGCACAAAAGCCGCTCTGCACACCAACTTCCTCCCATGAGTCATCCGGAAGAGGAGGTTCCTCTGCGCGTCTCCTCTCCTCCCAGCCTTTCTATCAATACGGTACTCGATGGTTTTAACTCCTTTATTATGCACTTTTCAGGCACAGAGGTTGCCTACCTGATCGCCATCTCCAGATCGGAGGCAGAAAAATACGCTTGTCCCGTTTCTACTACCTAAAGCGTTTGCAAGATGTTTCCCCTGTTTAAACCAGCGGTGTCCAAACTTGGCAACTTTAAGACTTGTGGACTTCAACTCCCAGAAGCTGCCTGAGGAATTCTGGGAGTTGAAGTCCACAAGTCTTAAAGTTGCCAAGTTTGGACACCCCTGGTTTAAATGCTATCAGGTTGGTTTTGACTTCTAGCAACCGACCTTTGCAACTGAGCCAAGTGAAATAGTGAAATGTCAGGCTACTTAGTTCACGTGCTGAGCCCTAAAAGGTCGTGTTGTTGTTTTTTACAAAATTAGAGAATATGCAGCAGGGACTAGAAAATGGGGGCTATGAAAGAAGGGACAATTGTTAATATATAGTACAAAGAACAGAACAGAAGGAGCTGGAAGGGACCTTGGAGATCTTCTAGTCCAACCCCTTGCTTAGGCAAGAAACCCTACACCACTTCAGACAAATGGTTGTCCAATCTCTTCTTAAAAACTTCCAGTGTTGGAGCATTCACAATTTCTGGAGGCAAGTTGTTCCACAGATTAATTGTTCTACTGCCAGGAAATGTCTAAATTGCTTCTCTCCTTGATTAATTTCCACCGATTGCTTCTTGTTCTACCCTCAGGTGCTTTGGAGAATAGCTTGACTCCCTCTTCTTTGTGGCAGCCCTTGAGACAGAACATTGCTATCATGCCTCCCCTAGTCCTTCTTTTCATTAAACTAGACATACCCAGTTCCTGTGTTAAGTTGGGTGAATGAGGACGCAGCAAGCCAGGCAGTGAGTGACAACAGCTCTTTATTGTAGGGTGAGAACCCAGCAACTGACCAGGGGAAACAGCTCCCTTTATCTTGCAGCTGTGGTGGTCAGTCAATCAGCTGATGGTCAGTTAATTCAAACTGCCCGCCCAAAATCTACATACATAACACTCTTCCCCTCCCAGAAGTCACTTTTGGTGAACATTAGCATACAAAGTCTCTCAGGTGACTAGGGCGTGTCCGCACCCTAGTTGACCTGCGCAGTTCAATCGGAGGTGTGGCATCGAGCAGGTCGGAGGAACTCCCTGTTTCTCCCTGCTCTGCCAATGGAACCTCCAAGAATTCGTTGTGGGCGGCGACTTCTGCGGCTGGTCAATCTTCCGCTGTGGGGCGGCGCTGGATCTTGGGGCCGACAGCTAAGCCCTCCGCTAGACTCAGGTTTGAGTTAGTTCAGGAGTTCTGTTGGTAGCTAGGGAGCGGTTCATCGAATTCTTCTTCTGTGTCGGCGGCCCAACGCTTTTGTAGCTGGTCAATGTGTCGGTGCCAAATCCTCCCATCTCCCTTGTCTACCCTATATGACTTGGGGCCTGTTATCTCTGTGATTGTCCCAGTTTCCCAGAGGGGCCCGTTCCCGTAATTCCTAGCAAAGACGGGCATCCCTATTGTGAACTCTCTCAGCCTTCTTTCTGCCCCTCTGAAATTGTCAGGGGAATAACTGGGGTGTAGCCTGTCTAGGACTCCTCGGAACTTCCTCCCCATCAGAAGTTCCGCCGGGCTCCTGCCTGTGGGGGTGCATGGTGTGGCGTGTTGGGCCATTAAGAATTTATCCGCTCCTGCCAGTCCCTGGGGCCTAGGCGTGAGATGGCTTCCTTAGCCGTTCTCACAAATCTCTCCGCCAATCCATTACTAGCCGGATGAAACGGGGCGGAGAGGACGTGTCTGATCCCCAACTCTGCTAGATACCCCTCAAACTGCGTGGCCATGAACTGGGGCCCGTTATCTGAGACTAAAGTGTCCAGTAGGCCATGGATGGCGAACAACTGCCTTAGTTCCCTAATGACGGCGTTGGTGGTAGTGGTTTTCATGAGTCTGATCTCCAACCACTTCGAGAAAGCATCCACTACGACCATAAATACCTGCCGATGGAATGGGCCAGCGAAGTCTATGTGGATCCTGGACCAGGGACCGTGGGGCCATTCCCATTCCCTGACCGGTGCTGTGGGGAGGTCTGGTCTGGACTCTTGGCAGGGTCGGCACTTCCCCACCCTCAGTGATGTCTTTATCTATTAGGGACCACCATACGTAACTCCTAGCTAACCCCTTCATCCTTACAATCCCGTGATGCCCCTCATGCAACAGCTTTAAAACTTTCTCCCTTAGGCACAAGGGAACAATAACCCAATCGCCCCACAAAAGACAATCCCCTTGCATTGTCAGCTCGCCCTTTTTGTTCGCGAAATGTTTGAATTCTCCGCCCTCAGGCTTTTCCAGCCACCCCCTCGTGATTCAACTTGTGACTTTCCTAATCACGTGGTCTCTGGTTGAAGCTCTCGCTACCTCTGCTGAAGTGATGGGCCCCGAGTCCAAGACGTCAATCAGCAGGACTGGAACTCCAGGCATGGGGTCCTCTATCCTGTCCGGTAACAGGCAATGGCTGAGGGTATCGGCATTGCCCATGCTCACCCCTGGTCGATGTACCAGGCGATAGAAGTATGCTGCCAGAAAGATGGCCCAGCGTGTCATCCTGGGAGATAGGGCTGCCGGGGTGGGTCAGTCCCCTGCGATGAGACCCAGAAGGGGGCGGTGATCTGTGATGAGTTCGAAGTCTCTGCCGAACAGGTACTCGTGGAACTTCTTGACTCCTGAGACAGCTGCCAGGGCCTCTTTGTCAAGTTGACTGTAGTTCTGTTCGGCGCTTGAAAGAGTCCGGGAGTAGTAGGCGATGGGTGCCTCTAGACCGTTTGGTAGTCTATGGCTCAGGACGGCCCCCACGCCGAAAGGGAACGCATCACAGACTTGCACTAAGGGAAGCATAGAATTGTATTGAATTAGGAAACACTCGGCCAACAGAGTTTCTTTACAGCCGCAAACGCTGTAGCTTCAGCCTTCCCCCAAACCCATTTGGACTTTTTGGCCAACAGTCTGTGTAAGGGCTCTGCTACTGTTGCCTTGTCCTTTAGAAAAATTGCATAAAAGTTCAATAGTCCCAGGAACACTTGTAGTTCTGCCTTATCTTTGGGGGTGGGGGCCTCTCGGATCGCCCTAATCTTGCTTTCGGTGGGGTGTATGCCGGCTCCGTCTACCCGGTACCCCAGGAACTCCATGGAAGGGACTGCAATCATACACTTGTTGCCTTTGACCCTGAGTCCTGCACTCCTGAACTTTCCTAGGACTTGTCTCAGCCTCTCCCCTAGCTGCTGTTCGTCTCCTGCGGTGACTAGCACATCATCGAAATACGGGACCACCCCGGGGATCCCCTGTAGCAGTCGCTCCATGGTGCTCTGGAATAATCCTGGAGCTATGCTGACTCCAAACTGGAGTCTGGTACATTTGAAGGCACCTTTATGCATTACTATAGTTTGTGCCTCTGTGGTAGCGCCATCTACCGGCAGCTGCTGGTAAGCCTGCGCAAGATCGAGTTTAGCGAAAATCTTGCCTGGGCCTAGGGAGTACAGAAGGTGATGCACGATCGGACCCGGATAGGCGCTCTGCTGTAGGGCCTTGTTGATTGTACACTTATAGTCAGCGCAGATGCGCACAGACCCGTCCGGTTTAATGGGGGTCACAATTGGGGTCTCCCACTGAGCATGATCGACTGGCACTAACACCCCTTGCTTTATCAATTTGTCCAATTCCACGTCGATCTTGGGCTTCAGGGCGAAAGGTACCCTCCTTGGTTTCAGCCTGATGGGGGCAATGTTGGGGTCGAGGTTAAATGAGATAGGGGTCCCCACATACTTGCCGAGCCACTCGTCGAACACGTCCTGGAACTCCTGCATCAGGTCGTCGTTCAGGGTGCCTCGCACGTTGCGGATTCCGGTGAATCCCATGCCCAGGGCTCTGAACCAGTCCATGCCCAGGAGGGTTGGGAGTTTTCCGCTGATGAGGGGAAGCTGATGAGGGGAAGCTTCTCCCGGAATTCCCCGTACTCCACCTGGAACACGCCGATTCCTTCCACGGGGATGCGGTTCCCCTGGTAATCGCGCAGTCCCAGCCGCTGGTGCCGTAGTTGCCGTATCTGGATGCTGGGGACGGCCTCCTTTAGCTTGTCCCAGGACATGATGGTAATTGGAGATCCGGTGTTGATCTCCATTACGCACTCCTGCCGCTCGATACCAACCATCGTGTAGGTCTTTTCCCCGGGGGATGTGCAGGTCCGGCTGATTCGGATGGTGCAGGCCTCGAGATCCTCAGATTTCGCACTTCTCCTGTAGCCGCCCTTCGAATTGGTTCTCATCCGCTGCGCCGTCTCTGATTGGCTCACGTTGCTCTGTGGCTTGTAATGGGGGTTCTGCTTGGCTCTGCAGACTCTGGCGATGTGCCCCTTCCGCTCGCATTGCTGGCAAATGGCGTCTCGGAACTTGCAGGTCTGGCGTGGATGGGGTCCCCCCACAACTCACACAGGCATCTCGTTGACCTCGCCTGTTCTGCCAGTATTGTTCTGTCTGGTAGACTTCCCCATCTGACTCTCCCTCGCTCTCCGTTCCCACGGTTTCCTGGTGAACCGGGGTTGACTTCTGTGCCGTTCTGCTCTGCGTCGTCCCCTGTAGTCTCTCAGCTGCCTTGGATGAGGATTCTTGAGCCCTCGCCTCATCCAGTGCGATGTGTAGCATGAGATTTGTCTTTGAGAGCAACCTCCTCTGCACACGAATATCTCTCACTCCGCAGATTAGTTGCTCTAGCAGCATCTCATCGAGGTCTCTGTACTCGCATTGGTTTGCAGCCTTACGCAGGGCAGTGACGTACTCGCTGATCGATTCTCCCTCCTGCTGCAGCCGTTGTCGGAAGTCAAACCGTTGGACGTACTTCGATGGTGTTGGGGCATAGTGGTCCTTCAGCAGTGACTGAAGCGTCTGCCACGAGATGGTGTGGACTGAGTTCGGTTCCGACAGGGCCTTGGCCATATTGAACACCTTCGCTCCACAATGGCTCAGGAACAGGGCTTTCTTCCGTACATCAGGCAGCCCCTGCTGGTCGCTGGCCACCAGGAAGCATTCGAAGCGGGACATGTAGGATCCCCACTTCTCTTCCGCAGGGTTGAAAGGCGCTGGCGGCACGTAGATTCTCCAAGTGCTCCGCTCGCTCGTCTGGCTGGATTTGGGTTTGCAGCTCTCTTGTCGGCTCGTGACTTCAGCTCTGTCTGTGGCTTCTGGCCTCAATATCCCACCCTCATCGCCAATGTTAAGTTGGATGAATGAGGACGCAGCAAGCCAGGCAGTGAGTGACAACAGCTCTTTATTGTAGGGTGAGAACCCAGTGACTGACCAGGGGAAACAGCTCCCTTTATATACCGTGCAGCTGTGGTGGTCAGCCAATCAGCTGACAGTCAGTTAATTCAAACTGCCCGCCCAAAATCTACATACATAACATCCTGCAACTCTTCTTTATATATTTTAGCCTCCAGGGCCCTAATCATCTTTGTTTCTCTTCTCTGCTCTCTTTCTAGAGTCTCAACATCTTTTTTTACATCGTGGCAACCAAAACTAGATGCTTTCAAGTGTGGCCTTACCAAGACATTATAGAGTGGCATTAACACTTCACATGACCTTTTTTAAAATTTATTTATAAAACAACACAATATAACAAACAGAAAACACATAATATATAGTCCCTTATTACAACTATTTCATAGCGGTAGTCTTCTAATATTTACATTTTCTCCCATTTTCCATTATAATATTTATATCCTTATTGTCCCATTATCCCTTATTACTCTATAATTTCTATCACTCATAATATTGATTTTATACACTTTATACATTAACTTACAAACACTTTACACTTATGATTTCTCCCCTTTTGTTATTGTTATTGTCATTGTTATTGTTTCTAATCTCCAGCCAGTTGTACCATTTCTTCCATATTGCATAGTATTCTGTATCTTACTTTAATTTCCTTTCTTAATTTGTCCATCTAAGCAGAATCTAAAATTTTCTTTATCAGATCTTCCTCTATTGGTGTATTTTTTTCCCCCAATTTTGTGCATATATTATTATTCTGGCCGTTATTATATGTAAGATTAAGTATTTTATTTGTTTGGTATGATTTCTAATGAATATTCCTAACAAGAATATCTCTGGTTTCCAATCAATCAGTTTATCTGTTATTTTTTCCAACTACTTCTTGATTTTGGCCCAATGCTTTTTGCAGCCGGACATGTCCACCAAAGATGATAATATGTTCTGTAAATCTTGTTACATTTCCAGCATATTGGTGAGCTGTTTGGGAACATTTTAGCAAGCCTTGCTGGTGGGAGGTGCCATCTCTAAAACATCTTCAACTGGTTCTCTGAATGCCGCAGACATAGTTAATTTTGCATTTACTTGCCACATTTTTCCCCATCTCTACCGTTCTATATTATAATTAAAACTTTTTGCCCATTTAATTGTTTGCTTAACTACCTCGTCTTCCATCTTGTACTGCAATAAAAATTTATATATATTCCTAATTAATTTCTCCACTGTCCCTTGTATAATTTGGTCCAGGTCAGGCTGATCATTTTGTATTTCATATAATTTTATGTCTTTTTTATATTTAGGTTGAATTTGTGTATATGTCCACCAATCAATTTCCCTACCTAAATCCTGTTCCAATTCCTGTTTTGTTTTCAAATTTCGTTGTTCTTTTAGTACATCCCTATACCTAATTATCTTATCCATCTCGATTAAATTTGGGTGCTTTATTTAAAGGATCAAAAAAGAATTTCCCTAATTTTATTGGGATAACCTGAAACAAAATAGTATTTTTGGCAGTATATTCATGTTGATTGTAGCGATCCACCCCAAAATGAGATCTCTAAGTTTTTCCAATTTTCTAGGTCTTTTTTTATCTTCTGTAGAATTTTATCGTAATTGTCCTCCTTGATTGAGGAACATTTAGCTGTAGCCAAATTCCTAAATATTTGATCTTCTTGGTTGTCTGTATTTTTATACTTGGGGGGTGGGGGTGGGGGGGAAAACACTTCACATGTTCTTGATTCTATCCCTCTGTTTATGCAGCCTAGAACTGCATTGGATTTTTTGGTGACTGCAATACACTGTTGGCTCATATTTAAATGATTGTCTACTACAGGCCTGTTAAACTGGTGGCTGGCAGGCGGATGTGTCACACAGAGGCAAAAAAAGTTGCAATACATCACGTGACAGGATCAAGTTGGACACTCGTGGTCTACAAGGACTCCACGATGCCTCTCACAGTTACTATTTCTAAACTTATTATAAATGTATTTCTAAAATACATTTTAAAAAAATAAAAAAAAAATAGAATATTCCACCAAAGCACATGGCTGACTAATTATCAGGCTAACTTTATTACGGGGGCACCCTACACTGCCATTTTTAATGAAGATCTAGTAAGAATTTCGGACTTTTCTTCTGAGGAAATGGAGAATTCCTCTGATTAGGGACTGGTGGCCTCTGGCCTGGCCCAATGGACCATCTCCTCTGGCATTGGATTGTCTTTTAGTTTGCTCAATTTTGTTAGATATGTGGTGTTAGTAAGTTTTTGGGGTCTCATTTTTCTATTAGGAAATATTTTGTTGGGTATTCTGCTATTTCCTTTGGATTCGTTTTAATGTTTCTTCTTTGTATAATGAAATTCAATCAATGTTTATTGTTGCTCTGCACTTAACTCTTAATCATGACATAAATTATTATTTTTATCCTCATATTGATACGTGTTGTCCACCTTTTTTACCTTCTGGGGATTTTCTTGTATGCATCACACATCTCCAATACCACACCCCAAAAAGGAAAAATTGCAGAATTGGAATAAAAAGAAAAAGCACTCTTGGCAATGAACTCTGTGGTACCAAGCCAACCACAAGTGTCTTTCAATATTTTAAAATTTAGAAACTTTCAACATGTTTAAATTTGAAACTAACTGGCAGAAAGGGGCAACTCGCCTCTGCCAACTCCTTGAGGACAACCTGACATGACTAATTTACTGCAGGGACAACTTGCTGTGGGAGCCACAGAGAAGTAGCCACAGCCACCCAAATACCTGCCGGCCAGCTGGTGCTCAGTGCAAGTTGGCGAGAGCAATGGCAGGGCAGTTCCCAGAGCACCCTTTGCCCTGCCCAGCACTTGTGATATAACAATGATGATGACACCGGGCAAAAGGGGTCAGGGGCAGCCAATGTGTCAGGATTCCAAGTAACACCGCCAATGAAAGAAACTCCAAGGCTTGAGTTTCTTCAAAGTTACATTTTATTAGGGATGTCATAATGGCACATTGGGGAAAAACCGAATCTGAAAGTTTCCAGGTTTTCCCCACCCAAAGAAAAGTTAAAGTCCCGGCCCAACACCCACAAGTCCATCACATGGTCCAATCAAACACTGTCCCAACTGGAGATGCCTCCCAGGTCCAGCCTTCCAGGTGGAGGCTGGTGGCCTCCACCTGGAAGACGGCCAGAAACGGGGCTGTGGAGGCTGAAAAAGCAATGCAGAGGCAGATAATGCAATTGGTGGCAATATGCTCTGGCGATTCCCACAGCCTTGAACAAGTCTGAAATGGAGCATTCAGAGGCTGAAAATGTAAGGCACAGAGGCCAAAAATGCAAGGCACGGAGGCGGTGATGGTCTGTAGCAATCCCTGCAGCCTGGAAGAGCTGATTGAGGGTATTCCGGGGGGTCGATCCACCCACCAATCAGCTGTTCATGCTGAATCAGGCTGCAATAATGTGCTGAAGCTGACCTGGCTGTTCGCTATTTGCTGCAAGGAAGCTGGCCAGATGAATACCGATGGATGCTGGTAGGCAGAGGCAGATTTTTTTCCCCTCCCCAAAATTAAGGTGCATCTTATATTCCGGAGTGCCTTATACACCGAAAAACACAGTATTTCTCTTCTCCTCCTTTGCTTTCTCATTATATGAGGAGTCACAATCTCTAACTGTAGCCTGAGTGCTCTTATCCTGAAAAAAAGGTGGCTTGGGAATTCTGGGGCTGAAAATATTGAGGACACCCAGGGAGAAGACAGGGCCTCTGCATATGGCATTTCTATCATTTATTATGATAAAATTGGGAAGGACACTCCTAAGAAGATGTTTGCAGATTTCTACAATTTTTGCAAAAATAAAATGTCCAGCAACTTCTGCTGCTAATGGCCAGTCCTTATCAAATTAACATGTTCCACTTTTTTCTTTCCTCCTTCCCATCTAATACCATGACCTATTTGATGACAAAAAATCAGGCAAATTCTTTGTACTCAAAAAGTCAATTTCTCAGTTGAACTTACAATGGGACATTTGAAATGAAATTCAAGCCTTCTCTACACTCATCACTTTGGGCCCCAGGTGCATTTTCTTGTGTGCGATAAGGTTGGAAGGTCCTGAAGCACCATGCACACTCAGAGCATTTAAATGGTTTCTCCCCTATTTGTATAAGCTTATGATTTAGAAGGCTATCCTTAGTACTGAAATCTTTGCACAGTCTGGACACTCATATGGTTAATCTCCTATGTGAGTCCTCTGGTGACTCACCAGTCGACAATTCCAAAGGAAACTTTTCCCACAATCTGGACACTTATATGGTTTTTCCCCAGAGTGATGGTTCACCAGGTCATAATTCTGACTGAAACTTTTCCCACAATCAGGACATTCAAAGGGTTTCTCTCCTGTGTGAGTCCTCTGGTGTTTCACCAGGTTGGAATTCTGACTGAAACTTTTCCCACAGAAAGAACATTCAAAAGGTTTCTCTCCTGTGTGAGTCCTCTGGTGTATCACCAGATTGGAATTATTACTAAAGCTTTTCCCACAGATAGGACATTCACAGGGCTTCTCTCCTGTGTGAGTCCTCTGGTGTATTACCAGGCTGGAATAATGACTGTACCGTTTCCCACAGTCAGGACATTCAAAGGGTTTCTCTCCTGTGTGAGTCCTCTGGTGTGTCACCAGATTGGAATTATTACTAAAGCTTTTCCCACAGATAGGACATTCAAAGGGTTTCTCTCCCGTGTGAGTCCTCTGGTGTATTACCAGGCTAGAATAATGACTGTAACATTTCCCACAGTCAGGACATTCGAAGGGTTTCTCTCCTGTGTGAGTCCTCTGGTGTGTCACCAGGCTGGAATTATTACTAAAACCTTTCCCACAGTCAGGACATTCAAAGGGTTTCTCTCCCGTGTGAGTCCTCTGGTGTGTTACCAGGCTGGAATTCTGAATGTAACGTTTCCCACAGTCAGGACATACAAAGGGTTTCTCTCCCGTGTGAGTCCTCTGGTGTGTCACCAGGTAGGAATTTTTACTGAAACCTTTTCCACAATCAGGACATTCAAAGGGTTTTTCTCCTATGTGAGTCCTCTGGTGTGTCACCAGGCTGGAATTTTCAATGAAACCTTTCCCACAGTCAGGACATTCAAAAAGTTTCTCTTCTGTGTGAATCCTCTGGTGTTTCACCAGGCCGGAATTCTGACTGTAACGTTTCCCACATTCAGGACATTCAAAGGGTTTCTCTCCCGTGTGACTCCTCTGGTGTGTCACCAGGCCGGAATTCTGACTGAAACCTTTCCCACAGTCAGGACATTCAAAGGGTTTCTCTCCTGTGTGAGTCCTCTGATGTGACACCAGGTGGGAATTCGTAATGAAACTTTTCCCACAGTCAGGACATTCAAAGGGTTTCTCTCCTGTGTGAGTCCTCTGGTGTGTCACCAGGTGGGAATTTGTAATGAAAGTTTTCCCACAGTCAGAACATTCAAAGGGTTTCTCTCCTGTGTGAGTCCTCTGGTGTATCACCAGGTAGGAATTCTTACTGAAACCTTTCCCACAGAAAGGACATTCAAACAGTTTCTCTCCTGTGTGAGTCCTCTGGTGTATCAGCAAATCAGAATTATAATTAAAGCTTTTCCCACAGAAAGGACATTCAAAGGGTTTCTCTCCTGTGTGAGTCCTCTGGTGCCTTACCAGGCTGGAATTCTGAATGTAACGTTTCCCACAGTCAGGACATTCAAAGGGTTTCTCTCCTGTGTGAGTCCTCTGGTGTATTACCAGGTTGGAATTATTACTAAAACGTTTCCCACAGTCAGGACATTCAAAGGGTTTCTCTCCTGTGTGAGTCCTCTGGTGTGTCACCAGGCTGGAATTATTACTAAAACGTTTCCCACAGTCAGGACATTCAAAGGGTTTTTCTCCTGTGTGAGTCCTCTGGTGTATTATGAAGTGGGAATTTCTATTGAAACATTTCCCACAATCAGGACATTCAAAGGGTTTCTCTCCTGTGTGCATGGTCTTGTGTCTCGTGAGTTGGGAATTTCTAATGAAACTTTTCCTGCAACCTCGACACTCACAGGGTTTCTCTGTGGAGTTAATCCACTGATGTATCACCAAGCTGGAAGTTCAACCAACATTTTCCAACAATCAGGACATTCAAAGCATTTCCCTCCTATGTGAGTCTTCTGGTGTATACCAGGCTGGAATTGCGACTTTTCCATAATCAGGACATTTAAAGTGTTTCTCTTCTGTGTGAGTTCTCTGGTGTCTCATGAGATGCAAATCTCTAATGAAGCTTTTCTCACCATCTAGACACTCATACAGTGTCTCCCTGGAGTCAATCCACTGATGGATCACCTGGCTGGAATTCTTACAATGCCTTGTTTAGTGGGGCTGTCATTGAAGCCGGTTTCTTCCTCACACGGGTGCCTTACTGTCTCTTCTACATGGCTTTACTATTGACCTTTTCCTCACCACTCAGTTCCAGATATTTCCCTTTTTTGCTGATTGAAAAATAATCTCCTTTGACTTTTCATGTAACGTATCCTTGAATTCTGCATAATCTGCTTATTCTTTCTTGATTTTCTCTCTTCTGTCTAACAGCTGTTGGAGGAGGAGGAGGAAAATTCTGTTTCTGTCTGTAGGAAATGGAAAATATTTTGATTTCTGGCTTGATTTTCTTCCCTTTTCAACGGTCCTTCTTATTTACAGTTGTCCAGAGTGCTCTTATTGCCATCCTGTTTGTCCCTGAGATTAAAAGAAAAGTGTAACTTTGTTTATAAAATGGTTAGAGATGTGAAAAATGAAAAGTATATATTACAATGAAAATGCAAACATGCCCCAATACTAGAATCATCACTGAAATTATTTATGATTCATTTGATACATGGAAGACTACCGAGATCCATGTTCAAATATCTATTCAAATTTAGTTGTTGATTGGAGTCAGTCACAAATTCTTAGCAATGGAAAGGACTATCATCAATTATATCTTGAAGTACTGTGAATAGATTATGTAACTGCAGATATATGCATATAGAGAAATATAGATTCACCCACTATATAGCAGAAAATACTGTCTGCAACCCCTATGGTGACATCCTTGTTCAAGAAGTCCTTACTTAACCTACCGTAATTAGAACTGATATCTGCAACACTAAGCAGCTCAATCATTAAGCATGATGTCACATGACAGGGCCAACTTATATCTGTTCCTCTGTAGTTGTTAAGCAAATGACTGTGGGTTGCTAAAGGCAATTTCATATGACCGTGACTTGCAATTTCCTGCCAGTATATCCACTGATTTTGCTTGTCAGAAGCTAGCTGGGAAGGTCACAAATGGGGTTCATCAGTGTGGGATGTTGCAGGCATCATAAATGTGCAACTATTGGCAGAACCCGAAGTGGTGCAACTTCTTTTCCTCCACCTTCAAAACCACAGTCACTGCTGACGTGTGGTCACTGAACAAGTGCTAGGATTACCACAAATTTTGTGGACCAGGTGCACGTTTGCTTCTACTGTGCCACAGGAACTTTGAAGGCTCAGGGAAGAAGTGGTGAGGACTACCTGTGCAACCAAAAATGCCAAACGGTCCTCAATAGCTATTTCTTAGGAAGTGCTGGATTAAGCACAATTGAACCTGGTTAATATATGGATGGTGGGACAGGAAATACCATACTTATTGGCAAGACATGGAAGTAAAAAAAACTAGTAAATTTTATTCATCTGTCATTTTCAATACACGTGTCGATTACAAACTGTATCAAGAGGGAAACATCAAGATGTAATGGGAGAGTTTAATTTTTTCAATTTCTTTTTTTCAATTTTTAAACTCCTTGTTCCAATTTTAAGTCTTTTTTTTTTCAACTCTTATATAACATTTTTAATTTAATTTTTTTTAATTTTTAAATCTTTTTCAATTCTAAAATTCTTTTTTCAATTTTTAATAAAATTCTTTTTTCAATTTTTAAATCTTTCAATTTTAAAATTCTTTTTTTCAATTTTTAAAATAATATTCCTTTTTCAATTTTTCAATTTCTTTTTTCAACTAAACATTAAAAAAAAGTTTACTTATTTTAATTCTTTAGAAATGTTTAAATTCTTAATTATCTAAGAGGAAAAAATAAACCACAGAAAAAGAGATACACACTTAAAACAGGGAAGATAGTGAAGAATTTTTCAAGACAGAAAAGGTCAAGAACTCTTGTAAATTATTGTAAACTGACACTTTGCAACGGAAAATATTTAATTTTTTTAAAAAAAATAATTTTAATTTTTAAGATGGTCTGGTACTCCCATCTCTGTAAGAACTTGCCACAATTTCTTGTGATCCACACAATTAAAGGCTTTAACATAGTCAATGAAACAGAAGTAGATGTATTTCTGAAACTCCCTCGCTTTCTCCATGATCCAGCGTAGGTTGGCAATTTGATCTCTAGTTCCTCTGCTTCTTCGAAATTCTGCCTGTAATTCTGGTAGTTCTCGGTCCACATACTGCTGGAGACGGTCGAGGACTTTTCGCCTTGGTCTATTCGCCTTGCCTGTTTCACCTTGACGTTTTCACCTCTGCGTTATTAGCCACAAACTTTTCTCCTCAGCTGATCCCGCCCCCAGTCTGCACATCGGCCATGGCCCCTTTGTCCCAGTCTGTTTGCTGGGGCCCATTTGTCAAAGTACATTTCACATTGGGCTTTTGGCCTCCCAGGACAATTCGCAGCCGGCCAATCGGTGCAGAGACTCGGGGGCTTTGGGAGTGGAAGTGCAAGGGCTGCAGTTCAGAGGGAGGCTCAGGACAGCCAACAACACCCCCCCCCAAATGGTTCGCATCTCTTTGCCACAAAGGACGGAGGGGAGGGAGGAGGGTTTGGGGATTTTGAGGATTTGGGGAAGAAGGGAGGAGGACACTTCCATCCTTGCGAACCAAAGTGCCTGAGACAAGTTTGCATCTCTGATGCTGGTTTGCATCTCTTTGCCACAAAGGACAGGAGTGGGAGTGGGGGTGGGAGGAGCACATTTCCATCCTTGCAAGCCTGGCTGCTTGCAAGGATGGAAATGAAGAGGACTGAGGAGCAACAAACAAGGATGAAAATAAAGAGGACTGAGGAGCAACAAGCAAGGATGGAAATGAAGAGGACTGAGGAGCAACACTAATTCCAATGTTTTAAACTTTAGAAGAGCTGATTTTAACAAACTCAGGGAGACCCTAAGCAAAATTTCATGGATAAAAAGCCTAAAGGGGAAAACAACTCAAGAAGCGTGGGAAACACTGAAAAATATGATCATATAAGCCCAGTCAAACACTATACCACTAAAAAGGAAAAACATGAAATCCAACAAGAAACCAGCATGGTTGCAGATCTCTCACTCTGATAAACCAAAAGATAAAAAGGACAAGTACAAAAAGTGATAAGAGGGACATATAATTAAGGCAGAATATCAGCAGATAGCCTGAATCTGCAAAGATGAAGTCAGGAAAACAAAGGCTCACAATGAACAAAGACTTGCAACAAAAGTCAAAGATGATAATAAAAAGTTTCAACATATAAATATCAATAAAAAAGTCAAGGAAACAGTTGGTCCACTTGAGAAGATAGCAAGGAAGTAACAGGCAGTAGAGAGAAAGAAGAGCTACTTAACTCATTCTTTGCAACAGTCTTCACACAAAAGGAAACTATTGTCCAACCTACCAAAAACTATAAAAAACAGACTAGAAATAAAAATTAAAATAAGCAAGAAAATGGTAAGAGAACACTTGTCTGACCTGGATGAATATAAATCACCAAAACCTGATGGATTACATTCCAGAGTTCTGAAAGAGCTGGCAGATGTTATCTCATAACTATTGTATTATATCTTTAAAAAATCTTGGAGCACTGGGTTTGTAGTTTTGTAGTTTCCTGGGTCTGGTTTTTCTTTTCTGAAGATGGGAACTACATTAGCTCTTTTCCAATCCTCAGGTAATACTCCGGGATACCCCAGGATTTTTGAAAGATATGGTACAAGGGTTCTGAGATAACATCTGACAGCTCCCTCAGAACCCTGGTGTTCTGAGAATCAGGTCCTGGTGATTTATATTCACCAAACTCATCAAATTTCGATGAAACCAAGCTGGCAGGAATATCCAAGTTGTGGGTGCTCCATCACTGGAGGCTTTTAAACAGAGACTGGAGAGCCATTTGTCTGAAATGATATCGGGTCTCCTGCTTGATCAGGGGGTTGGAATAGAAGACCTCCAAGGATCCTTCAAACTATGAGCTCCTCTGTTACAAACCTCCAGGGACGGAGCAGCCACAACCTCTGGAGGGAAGCCATTCCCAAAGAACCAACCTCCACTTGAAAGAGGCTTTTTCAATCTTCCCACCAGCAGAAATTGCAGCCCCCAGTTTCCCAGCCTGCAGCACCAGTGGGCTTCCATTTGGGGAGGGAAGGAACCTGCAGCACCAGCAGCTGAGAGGCTTCAGCCCAGTTGCTTCTCCGCTTCCAGGCCGTGGAGGGAACCGAACAGCCCGACTTGCTCCCGGACTCTCCTCCCACCTGCAGCCCTCAACTCACCTGCCAGCTGCTGCTTCCACCCTGGGAAGACCACAAAAGCCGCTCTGCACACACCAACTTCCTCCCATCAGTCATCCGGAAGAGGAAGATCTTCTACGGTTCTCCTCTCCTCCCATCCTTTCTAGCAATACGGTACTCGATGGTTTTAACTCCTTTATTATGCACTTTTCAGGCACAGAGGTTGCCTACCTGATCGCCATCTCCAGATCGGAGGCAGAAAAATACGCTTGTCCCGTTTCTACTACCTAAAGCGTTTGCAAGATGTTTCCCCTGTTTAAACCAGCGGTGTCCAAACTTGGCAACTTTAAGACTTGCGGACTTCAACTCCCAGAAGCTGCCTGAGGAATTCTGGGAGTTGAAGTCCACAAGTCTTAAAGTTGCCAAGTTTGGACACCGCTGGTTTAAATGCTATCAGGTTGGTTTTGACTTCTAGCAACTTTTGACCTTTGCAACTGAGCCAAGTGAAATAGTGAAGTGTGAGGCTACTTAGCTCACGTGCTGAGCCCTAAAAGGTCTTCACGTGTTGTTGTTTTTTTACAGAATTAGAGAATAAGTTTTCTTCGGGGTGTCTCAGT